TTGGCAATGAAATTATTATTATTATTATTTATTTATTTATTTATTTTATATCTTTTTGAGACAGGGTCTCCCTGTAGCCCCAGCTGTCCTGGAACTCACTGTGTAGACCAGGCTGGCCTTGAACTCACAGAGATCCGCCTGCCTCTGCCTCCCCAGTGCTGGGATTAAAGGTGTGCGCCACCACGCTGGCTGAAGTTATTTTTTTTTAAAAACCATATAAAATTACCTTCAAGCTGTGTCTGTATATATGAAACACAACTGAAATTTTTGTTTAAACTTGGATCTCATCCCATTGATACCTTATTGTAAATATTCCCAAATCTAAAAAGTTTCCAAAGTCTGAAACACTTGTGGTACCAAGCACTTAGTTTAAGGGATACTCAACCTGTGTCTTGTTGAAATGATGCTAAGTTATTTAAAAATATAAATATAAATATGATTTGATATAATATAGTTAAAAAGTTAAACAAAGGTACTGGTATAATATTTTGAGGATTATTTTTAGAATAGGAGGTGACCTCACCTCTGATATTTACTTAGCCATCAATGTATTCTACAGACTGAATTGTCTGTTAGTTTAAATAACGGCATTTTATAAGTTGATTTTTCAACTCGTTCAAGTTAGTATGATGTATTACTAGAGAGCAAAAGAACAATTTCTGTGTGAGTTTTAGATTAAAGCTTACCAAGTAAATAGGATTTGAACTGTTCTGGTCTATTGACCTACCTATAGATATGAGTGTTATTGTTTACCCTGAGTGTTGTCCTGTTTCAGAAGTCTACTTCTTCCCCAGTGAAGTCTACTACATTCATCACCAATACTAAAAATTGTGAAGTACAAAATCCTGATCTACTTCAAAAAAGTATTAGTCCGCTGAAAACAGAGTTATTGAAACCAGTTGTGAAGTCAGCTTTATCTCAGACAGTTCATTCCAAAGAAGAAGCAAACAGAGAAATTTGTCTGCAGTCCCAACCCAAAGACAAATCTACAACACCAGGTTAGGTGTCTAAAACTGTTGACTATGTTGAAGATATTTATTTTTTACATTTCATTTAATGTTTATTTATTCTGTTTTTTTGTTTGTTTTTGAGTTGCAGTCTTGTTATGTATCTCAAACTGGCCTGGAAGTTACAATGTAACCCAGGTTAGCCTCAATCTTAAGATCCCCCTATCTTTTTGGGGGGAGCTTTTTGAGACAGGGTCTCCCTGTAGCCCCAGCTGTCCTGGAATTCACTATGTAGACCAAGCTGGTCTTGAACTCTCAGAGATCCACCTGCCTCTGCTTCCCGAGTGCTGGAATTAAAGGTGTGCGCCACCATGCCTGGGAAGATTCCCCTATCTTAACCTCCAGAGTGTTATGATTAGGCAGGCATGTGCCACAATGCCTGGTTCTAAACATTTTATTTTGTTTTTGTGTTTATTTTTATTTGACGTGAATGAGTAGTTTGCTCGCATGTATGTAAGTGCACTATGTACATGCAATGCCTGAAGAGTCTCTGGAATTAGAGTTATGGACGGTTGTTAGCTACCATATGAGTGCTAGAAACGGAACCTCAATCCTCTCCAGCCCTAGTTTTCAGCATTTTAGATATCCACTTGTGAATGGTAGAGTGTTAGTTTATTCCAAATGAGATTTCTTATTGATCTTTTTTATTTATTTATTTTTTTGGTCTTTTTGGTCTTTGTATGAGGGGTATTTTGTTTTGTTTTTAAAAACAGGGTCTCACTATGTAGTCCTGACAGGCCTGGAACTGACCAGGTAGAACAGTTTGGCCTTGAACTCACAGAACTCCATCTGCCTCTGCCTCCTGAGTGCTAGGACTAAAGACATGCACCACCACACCTAGCTCCTATGTGCTATTTTATATCAAAAAACGTAAAAAAAAAAAAAAAAAGCATATTTAAACTGTTAAAATGTAACAAGTTAAATATTTTTATCAGAAAAGGGCTAATCTACATTAACGAATGTAATAAGAGTCCAATAGGAAAACTAGGCCAAGTGGCACAAATCTATCATCTCAAGGCTGGGGAGGTGAGGGCAGATCAATAATTCAAGGTCCTCTTTGATTACATTAGCAAGTTCCAGACCAGCCTGGAATATATAAGACACTATCTTTTAAAACAAAGATCAGGGCCAGGCGTGGTGGCACACACCTTTAATCCCAGCACTCAGTGCAGAGGCAGGCCAGCCTGGTCTACATAGTGAGTTCCAGAACAGCTGGGGCTATAGGGAGACCATGTCTCAAAAAAGACACACACACAAAAAAAGTATGGTGTAAAATATATGATGATAGAATTTATTGTGCACTGTAACTCTGTGTGTGTGTGTGTGTGTGTGTGTGTGTGTGTGTGTGTTTTGTATGTGTGATCCATACACCTGAGTTCATAGGTGCATATACATGTGAAGGCCAAAGGAGGGCATTGGGTATCTGTCTCTATTGTTCTCTGTTTTCTCTTGAAACTGATTCTCATAGAATGATTGAATGGGAAACTGCCTTTTGGCTAGGCTGGCCAGCCAGTGAGCTCTTGTGATCCACCTATCTCCTCCCTCCAAAGTTAGCATTACAAGCACATGCAGCCCTGCCCAGTTTTTTACATGGATGCAGGGGATTCAAACTCAGTTTCTCATGCTTGCAGAACAAGTGCTGTTACCTGCTGAGCCATCGTGCATCCTCTCTCCCCACTTTTTTTTTTTTTTTTTTTTAAAGACAGGCTCTCATGTATCTCAGGCTTCTCTTGAACTTGCTATATAGCTCCGGACAACTTTGGACTTCTGATCCTCCTGCCTCCAGCTTCTTAGTGTTAGGATTACAGGCACGCACTACCACACTTAGTTTATGCAGTGTTGGGGATAGAACCTAGGCATTCCTGCATTCTATGTAAGCACTCAACCAACAGAGCTATAGTCCTAACTCATGTTTAATTTCTTGAAAATATAACCTTTCTAGAAACTAGAGTTCATATGGAGGAAAGTGGACAGCAGTGAGAGCGACATAAGTCATTTCTAGATGTGTTAAAATGAGGACTGGAGAAGAGGGGTTGGAGCTCAGTGGTGGATCACTTGCTTGACATGCTCAAGGTCCTAAGTTCATCCCTAGCATTATGGGGAGTAGGGGTTGGGAGGACTACAGAAACAACAGAAGCAGAAAAGAAGCAATTATAAGATCTCTGCATGGAATCAGACTAGTTCTTTTTCCCAGTTTTCTAAAGATTTAAGACAGGTATGAAACTTGCTTTGTATTATTCTTGATTACGGGATATAATCAGAATCACATTGCTAGCACCTTAGATATATGTGATTGAGATGTTTCTTTGTATTCTTAATGAACCCTACTTTGATATATGACATGAAGTGGGAAGAAGTGACAGGAGGAGTCCAACTATAGCCATATGTCAAACTCTGCCAATTGCTTTTTTTGTTTTCTTCAAATAAAATTGTATTAGAATAGCTGTATCTATCTGTTTTCCTGTTTTCCTGTGGCTTCATTCAGTCTATAATGCAGAATTGAAGTGTTGCGAGAGAGTCCATATGAACCACAAAGCCCCAAGTATTTACTATCATGCTCCTTACAGGAAGATATTGCCAACCTGTGAGACATATAAGCCTATTTTTAAATAATACAACCTACTGATGGAGATGGATATATATATATTCCATTTGCTTTGCTACAAATCTACTTTATATTATTTCAAATAATACTCTTTTTTTGTTTGTTTTGGTCTTTTTGAGACAGGGTCTCCCTGTAGCCCCAGCTATCCTGGAACTCACTATGTAGATCAGACTGGCCTTGAACTCACAGAGATCCACCTGCCTCTGCCTCCCCAGTGCTGGGATTAAAGGCCTGTGCCACCATGCCTGGCCGCAAATAATACTCTTTAAGACTATAAAAGCAAAACATTCTTTTGATAAGGTGGTTAACTCAGGATTTTTCTTTTTTTCTAAAAAATTTAAATCAGGAGCCAGGCATGGTGGTGCACGCCTTTAATCCCAACACTTGCGAGGCAGAGGCAGGTAGATCTTTGTGAGTTCAAGGTCAGCATGGTCTACATAGTGAGTTCCAGGCCAGCTGGGGCTACAGGGAGACCCTGTCTTAAAAAGACAAAAAAAAAAAAAAACAACAAAAAAAACCCAAACAAAAAAAATTAAATTAAATGTGTTTGTAACATATTTGATTTGCACAAAAAACACAGAACTATATGTATTAATTGAATACCATGGGATCATTTCTCTTAGGGGTAGGAGGTAAAAAAAATCCTAAATATTCATATGCTAGACTTCTCCCAAACAAATTACAATAAATTGGACTTTAGAAATGCCTAAGTGCCTACAAATTTTTATGACCAGGATGTTTATTGGTTATGGTAGGTTGGTAATTCAGATATAGTTAATTTCCAATCAGTTAAAATCTTTTGTAAAAATTTGTTTTAATTTGTGTGTGTGTGTGTGTGTGTGTGTGTGTATGTATGTATGTGTATATGTGTATGTATGTGTATGCATGCCATGGCCTGAGTGGTCAGAGGACAGCTGTTCTGAGGTCGCTTCTCTCTCCCCGCCTTGTTTTTTTGAGTCAGGGGCTCTGGTTATTTCTGCTGCTGTGGTGCAGATCAAGTTGCCAGCTACTTTTCCTGTTTCTCCTTCCCATCTCACCTCAGAGTGCTGAAGTTGGGTTACAGATGGGAGCCACTACATCCAACTTCTTACATGGGTTTGGGGGATCAAACTCAGGTTGTCAGGGCTGCATGACAAGCATTTTTACCAACTGAGCCACCTCATTGGCTCCTATTTCTTTTTAAATTCTTTTTGAGACAGGATCACCCTGTAGCCCCAGCTAGCCTAGAACTCAATGTAGACCAGGAACTCCTAGAGATCTGCCTGCCTCTGCCTCCCAAGTGCTGGGATTAAAGGCGTGCATGATCATGCCTAGCTTTTCATTGAGTTTCTTACAGGCCACATATCATTGGGTTATGTTTTGGCATTGATTCAGTCAGTCAGGACTGTTTGCTTGACCTAGTTAGTCTATTTATTTATAAGAATACTGTAAATGAGGAAGGATTTACCCTTAGTATTTTGTAAGATGTATTCTATTTGATTGACATATCATTTGTTCCATTATTCCTCTTTTGCTTGTTTTTATGGTTTAATGATTAATATTTGATTCATTTCTATGGTTCTTTTGTGTGTCTACTTCGCTAGTAA